ACGCGCGCTCTTTATACACGTATACATATCTCTGTATGACCTGTCACCCCGTTGATCGTCGAGTGACTCGAGCTGGTACCAGCAGCTCTTCCATTTTCCCTTTCTCGTGCAAGAGTAGCCCAGTGGGTCCTTCTCGCTCTAGGGATTCGCTGAGCATCATATCTTTCTTCCATCGCTTTCGTGAAGAAATCGGACCAACGGGTCAGTGGTCTTCCTTTAGAGCGCTTAACGTCCCCAGGAATCCCGTCGGTAACGGCTCTCGCCCATCGGTTGTCGTTGAAGCGCATCACGTGTCCGGCTCACCTTATTTCCGACCTTGCGTGTAGAACGGCGTATCTGATTTTCAATCGTTGACGCAGGTCGGAACTTCGGATCATTTCTCTCATTTGCAAGATACGGGATACTCCTAGCATCGACCTTTCGACTGCGCGTTCGATAACGGCAAGTGATCTTTCATCCTGCTTACGTAGCGACCAGGTTTCTGCTGCATACGTTAGGGCAGGGATAATTGTCGAGTAGAAAAGGTGGGCACGGAGGCTGATGTTCTTTGTCCTCTTCACTACATCTTCGATGCTCTTAAACGTTCCCCAAGCCGCTCGTTTCCTCCTGATCAACTCTGGGGCTAAGTCGTTCATCATGTTGATTTCACGACCTAGATAGACGTAACTGGAGCATTCGGAGATTGTCTTTCCGTTGAGCGTGAATGGGGAATTAGAAACCCATCCGTTCCTCATGAACATTGTTTTCGTTAGATTCAGTTGAAGACCATTCTTTCCACAGGCGTTATATAATTCCAAAATAATATATATATATATATATATATATACATATATATATATGAAACATTGGAAAAGAGATACTTTGAGTTATTCCTTTTCCGACGAACCGACTAAATCCCACACCACATTACTAAAAAGCACTATTCGCCAATTGAAACATGGTGGAAACAACTCTAAGTGTAAACTTCGTGATACTCAAAAAATAACTTCATCGGAATTCGTTAGTTTTAATCAACTAGCATATACTAGAGTTAGTTTATATCGAGGTAGCGAGCAGGAAATATATGCAATCAACAATGTCTTCATACCTAGGTGAACTGAGTGATGAGCAAAAATTCGACCTTAGACGGTAGTTGAACTGAGTTGAATTGAGGTCAAATTTTTGCTCACCACTGAATTCTCCTAGGCTTATATGAAACATCATAACATCGCGAAAAAACAGTATAAACATAGGAAAACATGAATTTGTATAAGTATTGCGGCTGTCGGCTTAACTGGGCTTACAGAGGGTTCATAAAACGATATTGCTTACCCTACCAAGACTGTAATAGCTTCCTGGCTGACAGCTATGATAGAGAGATACTGAAGAGCGAGTGGTGGGTAAGCAGTGGCGTAGTGGTTCCACGCAACCCCCTTAAGGGTGAAACGCGGATTCAACTGCCGTCTGTGGTCAAATTTTTGCTCACCACTCAATTCTCTCAGGTGTACTGGAACATCATAGCACTGCGAAAAAGCAGTAAAAACATAGGAAATCTCAGACTTCTTTATATTTTTCAAAAACTGCGAGCCAACTGGAGACAATGCCAGATAGGCTCAACGAAGCAGGAAAATGATTCTATCACAAATGCGCAGGTTGACAACTCTGTTCATGACAAAGTATGAAGCAAATGTGGGCAAGTCAAAATGATGGGATCTCTGATCGCAGAGACTACTCGCACATTCATATCGTGAATTTGTCGATCACGGGAAAAACATAAAGCAAGAATTGAACAGCAAAGGGATAGCGCCGGTGACTGCATTTGAACCTCTCAAGAAGGTCATCATATAAAAAACACCAAAATTCGAGACACTTTCTAAAATCATCAGTCTTTCCAGCGCTCTATCATGCAGCGGGACGTGAGCGTGCACTTCAACCACTCCTCAGAATCCTTCACGCTACTCACAGAGCGCTTGGGCAGTGCGGGAATGTAAATACCGAATCAACGAAATTTATTCTCATTCGAGACGTAACAGAATTCGCAATAATAGCGACGTATTCATATAATAAGAGGAGCAGGCGACATACGGGCGAGTAGAACTGTAGACTATACTTCTCGAGGATGTATGCGCCCTAAGACGATCTCCTAGCTAAGCGATTGTGTTCAGAGCTCAAATCAATGAGCTATGCTTACATCAGATTATGTTTTGCAGATTACAACATAACATTCACAGCTACCTTATGTCCGAATCAAACCACCACCATTGACGACAATAGTGCAAAGAAATGACTAAACGATCTACTAGAATCCGTTTGAGTTGTGAAGGAAAGCCGTTCAAATGGGCGAGTAGGTGACATTTGATAAATAAACCATCCCAGCAGTACTCCCAATAAAAGATTCTAGAATGTACAAATTAACCAATATAGATAGAGCTGGCCACCCCTTGAGAAGTTATCACTAAGAAATAGCTTAAATGCTAGGATTTAAAGCAATTGTACACTTTGCTGTGACCGAGTGGCTAATGATGCTCGACGCGAAACTGATTCCTCATCGCTCTCAACAGTCTCTGGCAATCAGTAACGATCGCTTTATGGAAGGCCTCAGCGTGGCTGTGCCTGAGACTGCAAGGCAGTGTGCCGAACCAGTTTTTCACGACTTTAGTCGAGAAGACAAAAAATAAGAATTTTATGATATAAACACTGGACCGCGTATCGTAAAAAATGCTGTGATGCGGATCAAATAAAGAAAAGTGAGGTGAAGCGGTGGTGATGGGCGTAGTCCGCGTCGACCAGTCGATCAGTGATTGGCCAACCGCTGATGGCTTAACGTTTTTTTGGATACGGCGGCATCGAGCCAAAATTGACGTTTTCGGCGCGGATTTCAACTTTTTTGAGCGGGGTCTCGAACTCGATGATCGCTGTGCCAAGACAAACTGCTCATTGAATCGATTAGATTCGAAAAGGGGAAATCGTGGAGTACAAGAAGGAATATCTTTTTCCGTGAAAAGAAAGTTGCTCACCTCTGCTTCTAATGTTTTTTGAGTCATTGTCTTTCTCTTTTCTGACGGTGTCAGTTCCATTCGCCTCAATTTGTATGTGATTAACCTCGGCCTGTTTTGCTGCAAAATTTCCAATAGTATTCAACGTGGAAGATCGCATGTTCATATGTCGATGGTAGAACAAACTTCTCTTTACGAATCATTGACCTTTCGTCACTAGTATTCGTGATCCACTTCAAAACACATTATTAGGATTACAATGACAAATTAAACACATCTTGGCCAACATCTCTTCGTTCACTACCTCAAATTTTTCAGAATCACTTTCCATTTTAACGTTCATTGCCGGGATATCTCCTTCGGCGATGGCTTTTGACGCCTCGGGTGGCTCGTTAACATCCATGATGTTATCCTATATGATACGGTTTGATCCAAACATTGCCTAAATATGTCCAGAAAGCAACGTCTACTGTCGTTAAAGTAAATAAGGCAAGACATCTCTACTACTTGTATTGGTCTAACGGTGGACGTTGAATCACACAAATTTGAGATCCACCACTGCACTTCAGGATGCCCACTCGAGCCACCATTCGGGAAACGTGAATCGACGGGTGCAACAAGATCCATTTCTGCTTCTGCAAACAAACGCTAAGTTCAACAGATGATGTAAAGGGAAAAAAACGGCTTCCAATGCTCAAGTGATCCCCTGAAATACTATCTTACAACTGTGAAAGCTCAATTCATTACTTCTCGCTATACAGCGGCACGATGTTAAAAATACATATTCAGAAGTACTGAATGACGTGCAAAACTTTCGACATCAGTAGGGGCTGAACCAGCGTTTCACCCATACCGTGCTACCACTACATCACCGCCACAGCTCTACTACCATTGTTTCTTTTATATATTTTATTGAAACTGGCAGCACCAACTTTTAAAGAGTTTGGTCGGGTTTCTATCTTAGAATATAAAAAATTTTGTACTTTTAAAAGTTTTTTGCGCAAAAATTTTACCTTTATTTCGAATGCTTTATTAAGACCACGCTCAAACTTCAATAGATCCTTTCATTATTATTTGAGTCAACTTGTCATGTGGTCGTCTGGTATGGGCTCTTGCACAACCCGATACACGTGTTTCGTCCTTACAGACTCGTCAGTCGGGCAGAACCCGCCGTCTTTCGATATTTTTATAGTCAGTTCTCTCGGGAAACTCTGCTCCCTTACAGAGAGTTATGGAAGACGAACGTTTTACACTCTATGTCAAACGAAATTTTCACCTAACACAGAATGTTGCGCACTTAATCGCTCTTTGGCTGGCATTTTTATCATAATTTTTCACTCGAAATAAAGGCATATTAAGATTGACATAGAGTGTAAAACGTTCGTTATATCGAAAGACGAATAAAAATATCAAAAGACGACGGGTTCTGTCCGACTAACGAGTCTGTAAGGACGAAACGTGTATCGTGCTGTACAAGAGAGCAAAAATTTTGAACAAAAATCACAGTGTGAGCAGACATTCTCCAGACTATTTGTTACAATATATAATCAGTCCGTACTGATTAAGTCATGTTTGCGAGCCTGTTTTCTTACCATTAGAGATCTTTCCCATCCGTGAAAGTCTGCACTGACCACATAAGGATCAGTATACGTTTAATCGGGTCGTGAAAATGATGGCTCTAAGCAAAGAAGTCCAAACCAAAGAAGGAAGACCTAATAGAGGAACAAAAACACTGCAGTGAACTGCAAAAGTGATGGCGGTTCATGCACTGTCGAATTTTGTCGTTTGATACTTTTGGAAACAAACTTTTGGATTTATATGGCTATTCCTAAGAGATTTGAGTGGTGAGCAAAAACACGACCTCAGTTGAGAATCGAGTCCGCGTTTCATCCTTGCCGGGGACAGGTGTTGCTACCACTACACCACCGAGGCATATTGGCTCCACCACTTATTTTTCAACGTCTCTATGTTAGCTATCAGCCACTAACCTTGAACAGGTTTGGTCGGGTAGAGTAACGCAAATATGTCTCGATGGTGTAATGGTAGTAGAACGCGGCTCCGGTAAGGATGAAACGCGGGTTCGATTCCCGCCTGAAGCCTTGTTTTGCTCACCACTCAGTCCTTTAAGGAATTTGTTAATGATCATGACACTGCGAAAAATGCAGTAAAAATACTATAAATTATTTATATGGCTGCGTTATGGCTCATTTTAATGCCCAGTTATTGCGTTATGTTTTGTTGCTAATGACGATTTTAGGAATGGAAAGGTGGTTAGCGAGTGCAAGAGTATTAACGGTATTACTCGTAAATTCAAAATGGGTGTCAAGCACCAGAGACATTTGCAACATCAGCAGCGCTTTTAGATCAAAAACTGCTAATGAACGTTTACAGCAGCGGTGGCTCAAGGTGTCTCGTAGAGGAGACAAGAACGTAGATGAGGAACGTAGTGGCCGACCAAGGGAACTGACAATGATCAGTTGCGAGCAATTATCGAAGCTGATTCTCTCAAAACGCGAGATGTCGCAGAAAAGTACAATATTCATTCTCGCTAATTATATTTGTTTGTTCTTCGGCGAACTTCGAGCTCGTATATGTTACAAGCTGCTTGAAATGGACATTACGCCGCCTTGAGCACCTTTTTGCTGAAAGTTAAAGGATACGGTCTTAGGCGATGAAACATATGACTCTGGTGGCTGAAGATTTCCTCTATAAGTCCATATGCTTTTCGTTCTCAGGTTGTAACTGTTTACGCTTAGGCTTAGTAGCGATTTATTTGATAATGTTTAAGAAAATTATAGTGCCTAAGCACTATAACAACAGAGCAAAGTCTCCTCCACAAAGTCAAGAAAAAAATTTGGATTCTCTGGATGGCGAAAAGTTTTCCACAGCCTGACAACGGCGTAAAAATGTTGCGCGGCACGCGAAGCGGTAATGCAGCGAGCGTGGCGGATGGAATGACTATATGGTGTTTTCTGATAAAATTTCCACTTTTATCGTCACTAAAGGGTTTTTCGTCGCCAATAGATAATAATATAATAGGAGAGGCTTTGAGAAATCTATTTGCTGTGGGAACAATAGCGATGCTTTCGAGTAGAACCCCGAATGATGATGTAGAGTGGTGTGCAAAAACGCTTGCGTCAGCCGGGATTTGAACCCAGATCCTACTCTTTCCGGAAAAATGTGCTAAACTGTCGTTTTTGCACATCACTCTACATCATCATTGGGTCTAGAGTAACATCATAACACCGCAAGGCGGTCAAATAAAATGATTTCGGATTGATTATTGGGACCCAATATCTGTCAACATAAAGGGGTTTAATGTCGATAATGACTACCCCGCCACACCGTAGACGGTTCACTGTTGACAGATAACGCGTTGTAGCGTAGAAAGAGTGGAGCGCGAAACGAGCGTCGGTGGTGCAACGGTTTAGCACATACTCCCGGAAAGAGTAGGATGTGGGTTCAAATCCCGGCTGATGCAAGCGCTTTTGCACACCACTCTAGATCATCATTGGTTCTATAGTAACATCATAACACCGCAAGGCGGTCAAATAAAATGATTTCGGAGTGATTATTAGAACCCCGAATCTAGGGAAGGAAAGGCAGTATTTCACAAAAAGGTGATATTTTGAAATGTCATTGAACATTTTCATGTTATACTACATACTACACACATTCACTCATATTTCAATCACATTTACCTTCATATAATACGCTATCAACTACTCGCCCTCATACAATATCGCAAATGAAAAAATAGCCAATTTAGTTGAAAGCACATGCCACCCGATAGGGTGAATTATGGGCTCGACCCCACCTGATGACAGGGCACATGAGCACTCTTTGTGCAAAAAATTCGAAATAAGAAAGAAAAAGAAGTTGGGACAGCGTATTCTAAAAGCAAATTACATTTTTTTCATAGGCATTAGATCGTCGTTTCAAAACTAAGAACTGTACTAGAAAATCTTTTCCTCAAGTTATTGAATGATTATCAAAAGTCTATTGAAAAGCTTTTTCACTGAAAAAGGCAGTCAAGCAGAAGTACATCTCACAGAATGTGATTGCACTCCACACAGTTTATGATGAAAAAAGGAGATATTTAGAACCACTGGGAGTAGTTTCTATTAATGATAGGCTGACAGTAATCAGTCTTTTAATAAACTAAATTTTTGCGGTGACAGAGTCTGTTCAAATCAAACTATTTCTACATGATTGTAGAAAACCACTGTGAAGTAGAATAAAGCACTTTGAGTACAAAGCGTTTTTTTCTAGTATAATTTAGTATAACGGCAAGCTTGCCATAAAATCGGAATTTTTCGAGCTATCATATCTTTGTATAGACATTGATATGTTAGAAAAATAATGATTTGTGGCAACTAAAGAAATATTTGTTCCTGAAGTATGAGTTTTTTCATTGAAGCCTAAGAAATTTTTGATACATGGGCGTTCTGTTCATATAAAACTATTTGTAGAACTGCTTCTGTAATATTTTATCGTCAAATCAGTATAATACTTCCTCAGTGCCTCAAATTACCGAATAAATTCAATATTTCCATTGTGAAGCGTAAAAATTAAAACTTCCCTCCGCGTCACAAGTGTTGCGTGCGGCACGGTCTAAAAACAGCCGTGCCGTTGTCGACGCGTTGGAATAAAGAACGAAAAATTTCGCGATAACGCGCCGAGGTAATACATAGTTAAACTCTTGATTCTATAGCACTCTAAAAAGTCCTTCCTGAGAAAAAAAAATACTTGTCCAAATTCACCAAGACTTTAGCTTCAGAGTGAATCTGATATCAATGGAAAATCCTTGTCCAGCAAAACAGGTCTTCGCAAAGAGTCCCTGTTCGCTAATGGAGGTGATCTGACTTACCTACCATTTTTCGAGATGTGGCCTAACCCTAGCCAGATTTCGTTCGGAAATTCGTAGCAATCTTCGTTGTACACTAACGGCATTCTGGCTCGCCTCACGCTTGCCTCCTTCAATGTTCTGAAATTTTGCTCATTGCTAAGCTGCTGTAACATTATCGAAATAGTAACATCGACCAAATTTAATCAAAACATGAAAACACGAGGAATCTTTGAGCGGCTCCAAAAAGCCAGAACGATGAAAAAATACATCTTTACATCACAAATGTGATGATTTGAGAAAAAATCTAGATGCTCTTTTAAATTTTTCGAAAAGGTTGCCTCGTTACTGCTACTCATCAAACGACATACAGTTAACGGAATCACCGGACTCTCCTTATTCCTTGATTTGTCGCCAGCCTGTTTCTCTATCGCGTTTTCAGAAATCAGACAGTGATTTTCCGTTTTTTGTTTTAAAATTAGTATTTCAATTAACCTACCATTTAAAACCGTTATAACTTCTGTCAGGTCCAAATCGCGGATTCTTAGCGATTGTCGCCTTTTTCTAGCTCCACTTTTGCCGCCTTCTCGTTTATTCAGTTCAATTTCCTCGTCATTCACCTCACTTCGAGGCTTCTGAAACATCATTCGAATCATTTTTTCATACCATCACTATCTTTTCAGAATGGAACGCTTCTTCTGCATGTCGCTTCTCCTTACATCTGCACATTCCATTGGAACCCAAGTGGAAATCTGCTTTTAATTTGTTTGGTGTCCGTGCTTTCTCGGCACTAAAAATAGTGTATGAGTCCATTTAAATGAAATACGTTGACTATTAGCCGTTTAACCTAATGATAAATTTCAAGCACTTTCAAATTACTATGATCCCCTACGTCATCGTGTTTTTTTGTAAAGTTTGAGAAATCGAGAAATCTTCACGAGGATAGGAATTTATACTGGAATTTGGATGTATCTCTAATAACTCATTTTCGCGCGCTCAGTTTGAGCGCGACGGTTCAGCGTATTTTCTTTGAAGTATTCGCGACCGATATCGGTATCAGCAATACTTACTGTCATCAACCTAGAAGAAACTTTCACTCTCGGACGACCTGGGATAATCAGATGTGTCTTGTAAGAGGTGCTACAATGCAAATTTATACACAAAGCTGGAGTGAGGACATATTTCAGAAGCATAGTTGAAAGAGGACTATTCCTCTTTCAAGTATTTAAAATCGTGATTTTTGAAGGATACAGACTTTCGACCACGTTCGTAGAGAACGGAAAGCAAGGCACCAGCTTAATTTACAGATTTACATTATAACACCTTTTGCAACACACATCTCATTATCCCAAGTCGTCTGAGAGCAAAAGCTCTTAGGATGCTAACAATAAAGTACTGCTGATGAAAAAATACGCCAAGCCGTCTCTCTCAAACTGAGCAAACGAAAACGAGTTATCAAAGGCACATCCGAATTTATGCATAAATTCCTATCCTCCTCAGAGCTTCTCGATTTCTCAAACTATACACTTTACAAAAAACACGATGACGCAGAGGATTATAACAATTTGAAGCTGCTAAAAATTTCTTACTAGGTTACACGGTTGTAGTCATTGTAATCTATTTTGATAAATTCCCACACCATTTCCGCTGCCGAAAAAGGGTAGGTACACCAAATAAATGGAAACCAGGTTGCCACATGAGTTTCAGTGGAATATGCAGCTTTTTACACCTCCAGAAATGTCACCCAAATTGTACTGATTTCAACTTTAACCTGAAGCTTATAATAGTAACCTTATCAAACCACAGCAAAACATTTGGGCATGTGCATACTTTCAATCTTGCCAAAAAAAAACGGATGGTGCACTAAGAATCGAGCAAATTGAGAGCAATCAAAAATATTAATAAGAAATTTGTCGAAGGCGCATTGGAACGGAATTTGTTCGACTAAGTCAGCGTTTTGTCATTTGTCAGCCACTCGATTGAGAAGATAAGAAAAAAATTGCTGAGGGTGAATTCTAGATAGAGAATGAGCCAGATGTCGGTGAAGCGGTCTCAACATTTTTTCAAACAGTAATTGCTATGCATACAAATATTAGGTTGGAAAGAAAATTTCCATCGTTTCGATGAGAATGCCGTTTTTTCGCATGAACTGTGTGCGATTTTCATATCATTTGAAAGGTCTACTTCTTACGCATCTATTCACATATAATTTGTCTGTATCTGCTGCAAAATGGAGGACCCATAACCTGGTCG